CGTCCGGGCAAGCGCAGGAAAGCACACAACGGAATTTCAACCCTAGCCTTTTTGTCTGAATCCCCTCAACGCCCAGCCGACGACAAATCCGCCTGCCCAAACACCCGACCTCATCCCCCAGGTTTTCTCTCGCCTCAGAAAATTCAAGATGACTCACGAGTCTGTTTGGTACAGCCGTCCCCGCCAGTAAGTGCTCCCCGTTCGACGCGATCCGTTTGAGAATTGAGGGTATATTCGTGAGGCTAACGGAGATTCGTTGTATAGGTTCGGCAAGGGCTCCCGTGGATGGTGTGTTCAACCCCCCTGAAATCTGGAAAATGCGAAGACAAACGATCAAGAGGAGAGGAGAATCACGCGATGAACTGGAACGCCAAAATGAAGGAACACACAATGGACAAATGACTGATTTATGCTCGATTGAAATACAGCCGTGTCTGCACCCACCGCGCCGGTCTCATCCGCAAGTACGGGGTATGGAACACCTGATATACTCTCATTTGGATACAATTCGAATATTTGGGACTGGTGAACTGATCGAGGATGCATTACAGATGAACATCTGCCGTCAGTGCTTCCGTGAGAAGGCCTCGGACATCGGTTTCTACAAGGTTGGTTTTCATCTTTACCTGTACACCTTGCTCTACCAAACAACCTGCACCCGCGATTGGAGGATAAACATCGTTGCTTGTGACCGTGGAAATGGACTCGACATGGCCAGCACTGGAGGAAAGGGGAACCAAAGCAATGAAACGACGAGAACACAAATTCGAAAGGGCGGCGACGCACATGGATCTCCTGCACACCACACAACATGCACACCTCAACCCTCCCGAACAACCTTAGCTAATGCCTCACCTCCTCCAGTTCCGTTAAATTCCTTCCTTCTTCCGAATTCAATTTTCCTTTGTTCACGACGGATCTCTTTCACGTGCTCGGGCGCTCGGTACCAAAATGAAGTGATGAAATGGAGAGGAGGAATTCTTCTTTTTCTTGTTCTCTCTCTTTCGAACAACTCCAGAGAATCGCCGCGAATCCTTGAACTTCTCTACAACCCCCCAATCCGCTCGGACAATGGCTTAGAATTTGCTCTTGAAAACAAAGCAAATCTCGGACTGGGGATTCATCTGGTACTCGGGGAGGATTTTGAATTTTTTAGAGAGCGGAGAAACGAGAGAAAAACAAGAAATGAAAACTTAAAAATTGAGGGATGCTTCATCTGCTTTTCTTTTCTTGCTGTTTTCCCAACCATGGCTTCGGACAACCTGATCGATCGTCTGGTTTTGGCTTCGCGATGCAAGCGAGTCACCGCATGGGGTCTGGCTGGCATATCTATGCGTGGGCTCGGTCCCGTTGGGGCTGCTTCGTGCTGGACTGACTCCCATCGTGTGGATTACGGGACCCTGCTCCATCTGTCCTACCTCGTCCTGTGGTCTTTGCGGTTCCTCCGATGTCTTGATCGTAGTGGTTGAAGACCGGATCGCTCATCTCGTAGTGTAGTTGAATGCCCGCGGCGCCCTTGAACAAAAGTTACCCATTTAGCTCTAGCCGGGCAGACACCTGGCGCTAACCTAGCTCCAAAGGAACCAGTCCACAAGCCAATCACATTGACCCCAGCTTTAATAGGAAGTACGTATACATTCTTCCCTTCAAGTTGCTAAGTACTAGGTACCGAAGACCCCATATCGGATGCAAGCCATATCCCAAAATAGCCTCCACAACGACGGAGAAGGAAACCCCCCAGGAAGACATGCAGAGGATACTTCCTTGCCCACCCTACCTCCCTACCAACCTATCTCCTTCTATCACGTATGAACCAGAACTCAAAAAGGTTTTCTAAGGAGTGCAAATATTGCTATGGCTATGATAATGCTATGCCGATTTGGAAAGTCCGCCCACCCCAACCCAAATTCATTCATACACAGTGTATGCGAAAGACAAAAGAAGACACGGAACTGAGTGAAAAAAGAAAGCCAAGTGGGCAATACAACACGTGGGGGGGATGATCTAACTCCATGGTCCCGGACCCTTTGAATACTCCAGAAGGGATTTTGGTGCTGGAAACTGGAAAGTCACTGGATGAACAGACTGCGAAGTGGGTGTCCAAAGTAACAAGTCAGAATATAAGAAAGAATAGCAAAAGGTCCGCCGGGAATGGAATTGGGAAAGGTGGGAGGGATTATTGAAGTATGGATGATGATGATAATGATGATGATATGTACCGGAATGGGGAATTGATGCGGCAGGTTCAGGAGATGTGAGGTAGAAGATGTATACGTAAAAGGGAAAGAGCCTGACAGCAACTAGACGTGTGCTGTTACTGTGGTGCAGAGGCTAGGGATCGGAGGTTGTAGAATAGGAGATAGGCGTCTGCGTTGAGGACGTCTGCTTCGGCCACTGGTGTTACTTGGTCGTCGTTGAAGAGCATCCACTGCTTGTTTTTGTTTGGGGTTAGTATTCAGGCGATGGCGACAACGGGGCGAATGAAGGATTGAGAGGGGCGGAGGTGCATTGGGAGGATCAAGGGGAGAAGTCTTACCTCGTCTCCTTGGCGGCAGTAAACGTAATAGTGACCCGAATCCAGCTTACCCTTGTGCACGACGGCGGACGAGAGGTCATACATGAAGCGTGCTTTGTCAACCTTGGAGTGTGGATTCGTCGTGTACGGGAGCATGTTGATGGATAGCGGAAATTCAATCCGGCCTTCGAGTTTCTCGGAGACAGAGGCGCTGTGCTCGAATCGCTGGGGTTTTGGGTTAGTCCAGACTGGTAAGGATTTGTGGGGGGTGGGAAAGTTGTACCTTGAGCTGCATGCATAAGATGGCCGGCAGTTTCTTGATCCGCAACTGCTTGGTCGCCTTCTGAGAGCCCCCGTTGCACTGGCTGCAGTTGTAAACGCCCGCCATGAGCTTCTCCGGTGATGTGAAACTCTCCAGGCATCCACTCAGCGTTGGGGTCGACGAACCAACCCCACCACCCATGGCTCGTTTCTTCACCTGGACATCGAGACTGAGATCCACCATGGGGTCCTCGGTTTTCGTGACATTGCCACACTTGTCGCATGTCACGCTACTACGGAGCTTGCCGTAGAATGTCTTGTGGAAGAAGCAAGGGCATCCCTTCTGGTGGTTCTCGTGGTGATCCTCGGTGCTTGCATGAAGTTTATCCACAAGGAATTGATAGTACTCGTGAGCGTCCTGTTGCTGATAACCGGCTAGTGTCTGTAGTGCAGGACATGTTAGCGAGACGATTAGAATGAAAGCCACGGTGCACATACGGGACTCGAGCGCCATGATGCCACAAGAAGATTCAAAGCAGTAAACCCTTCGGCCTTATCGATGCTGTTGAAGTCGGCAAATGCTTCAGCAACTGCACAGCCTACACAGTCGGGAATAGTACAGTCATGCGGCTGGTGACCATCGCCAAGGAAATATGTGCTGAGGATTGGATCGTGTAGGAGAGTCTGCAGGATGACATTCAGATAACAGGTCTGGCCCAAGTTGAACAAGCCCCTGACGCCCTGTTTCGCGCAGGGACGTTTGGTGGCATTGCTCCGAATGTATAGCTCATCTGCTGAACTATCGCTAAATCGACGTTTCTTGGCGACTATGTGCGATTTGAGCGCCAATAGCAATGAGTCCGGTGAGCGCGTATGCTTACCTTGCAAGGCACTTTCTGCTGCGGAGCAGCGCAGTCTTTCCAGCCCATGATCGAAGACAAAGTCACCGCAGCCCTGACAATAGAGATTGCGAGCTCGAGAATCCATGACTAGGAGGGTCAGTGGTTGACCACGCACTCGACGAGGACGACTTACAGAATGAGTGACCCGTCTTATCGGTGTGAGCTTGCCGCTCGCTCATCAAGCAGGTTTCTGAACATGTCAAGCAAATATACTTGGGCTTTAAGAACCCGTGGGCCTTTGAACGAGCATTCTTAATGAGTCCGTCCACAGGCTTGGGCAAGACCGCCAGGGAGTTATGCGCCTTGATAAAGGAGCTCTTGAACTGCTCCGCCGTGTTGGCATCTTGTCCTAGCTGGGTGGCCAGGTGCTCTTTTGTAGAGATATCAGCAATCAATACCATATTTCAGACGATACATGGTCTAGAGGGTGTACATACCGCAGCCGAATTCGGCCTCCGAGAGCAATGAGACAGAGACCACACTGGCCACGGTCGCTACGGTCGCCATGACGGATCCGACGAACGACACGAGGGGGTTTTCACAAAGAGCGCAAGAAAGTCAAACCGGCACAGCCAAGGTCAAGACTCTATAAATCGAGAGAAGAGGAGAGGGGTGTTGTTCAGCAGGTCAACTGCAGATCAGAGAGGATCCATGCATTGCAGCACTGGGAAGGTCTAGGTGTCATCCACATCAGTATTGTCTGTGTATCAGGGTAAGAAACAATGACTGGGACAGAGTATTTGATAATTGGTAACACGGATCACAGTACCTTATGGGATCCAATATAAAGACTGTGGGGATACTGAATAGATCAGCTCCGCAATAGAGTGATAGTTGCAGCAGCAGCAGCCCGTGAGTGACACACTGGAGAGACTCCGCCAGCCACCGGAGGGTTCCGCTGTCGGGGATCGGAAGCGGGTGGATTCAGTCTGGACGGAGCTTCTTGTCCAGCCTTGCTTCAGCAATAATCCTTCCCACCACGAACCAGAAGTCCTGAGAGGCTTATAGAATGAAGTTGGTGAGAGATAAGACTATTATAGAGCAATAATCCCAGAGACAGACAATTACAGAACGTCCTGGAGCTCGTTGCTGAGGAGGCGCAAGAAGCAGGTCAGGTCAGATCTTTTTTTCGCAAGGGTCGACCGCGGCTGCTCCGGCGGCGATAAGACGCCGGATCCTCACTTGATCCGAGATCGCCTCCTGCTCCAACATGTACGAAGTAACACATCAGAGTGCAATAATACATCTGTCGCAAAAAGACCAACTACCATTCACCTACGAAAATCACTCTTCACAATAGAATGTTGTGTACATTGTCCCCAAATGCGAATTGAGCATTGAAGAGCTATCTCGAGACAAGTTTACCAACACACAATTTAACAACCTGTGTATACGATTTTCCTGCGCTTGTCAAGCAGTATCGTATACCAAGCTAGGTCAGCGCAGTTTGCTTCGCAGGCACCGTCGCAACATCTTCATGAAGTAGCCCGTCCTATGTGTGCGGGTCTTTGTCCTCGCCGGGCCTGCCAGTCGCGTGGATAGCAGCCAAGAGCGTGCACCCCTGTATGCGCTTAATTTTTTGCCATAATTCATGTCGCTTCTCATGTCCTCATTCACTGCTGCTCTTGATCACCGAATGCCTCTTCCCCGGGGCAGCGCACTGGGCCGGGATCCTCGGCTAGAGCCTCTTGTAGCATATCGCCCAGTTGTCGAGCCGCGCGTTCCTCTAGTGGCCCCTCTAGTTGTTCCTCTTGTGGTTCCTCTTGCAGATCCGCGCGAAGAAGCCGGGATCCTTGGCGTGGGCTTGGAAGAGATCATGCTCGGTGGGTTTTCGACAAACGAGGTATCCGTAGTCCTAAGGTTAAAGAATGTGTTCAGTATGATAGCGAAAAGGAGAAGAAAAGAGGCGGAAACTCCGGGCGACTTACATGAAAGTCATTTCTGCGTCATTGGTCGCTTGCGCTGCCTCCGCTTCAGCTGCTATTGAGTGTCAATATCTCATACTCTGGAAATTAACAATGGAGCTGTACCGCTTTGCGTCTCCGCTTGCTTTGCCCTCCGGAATGATTCTGCGATCGGTGCCTGAGATGGATGAGCAAATTGACCATCGTGAGATACGGATCGGACTGTTGCGGTTGAGCAGTCTCATACCTCTGGAAAATCCACACAGAAGGCATTCATGTTCATGCCGTACAAGAAACTGGCGAAGCTTTCGCTGAACCGTGTCAAGCTCTCATGCATTAATTGGAGATGCATGAAGTTGGCTTCTAGATCCGCCATCGAGTCTGCGAGTTCCGCGAACTGGGGTTCCAACGCATTGATGGCGGGTTGTGTATAGCCAGCATTGCCAATACTACTTCCATATCCATGGGCTTCGCGGAACGAGGAGCGTGAACTGGGTCGCAAGGGAGTCGTGGGTCGAGAAGAGGGCCGAGGGCGCGATGCTGAGCGAGAAAAAGCATCCATGATGACCGTAGTTGGCTGAATTGAGATCCGAGGGTCGGGATAGAGATGAGATGCTTGCGATACGGCACTGCGCAGCGCACAATGGAGGCGGAAAGTGGATTGAAAATTCAGCTATCTCGGAAATTTTGTTCCTCAGATGAATGTCTTGAGTCGGCGTGATGATTCTGATAGCTAGTAGGTTTGTTGACGGTTGCAAGGTTCGGTGCGGGCGGCGGGCGGGCTGTTGTTGATTCCCCGCTTTGGGAAGGTGCGGTCACTGGACCAGCTGGACTGTGGATCATTGATGCCATATCCATCAGGCCCTCAGCCAGATCGCTTCCTGGACCAGGTTAGTGTTCAACTTATTAATGGGATGGGCCCGACTATAATTAGGGATCTCTGGAGGATCCCAAGTCCCCTGGCTAAGCAAAAAGAAGAGAACACGAGTGCAAGACTATCTCTGATAGGAAAGCCCGGATAATTCGACCGCAACAACTCTCCTCATAATCTCAATTCATCCCCACCCTCAGTTAGTGGCCCCCTCCTCCCCTCTTCGCCCCCCTGGTTCAACACACCGATCGCAGTTCGGCCCTGACGGACCCTGATTGTTCCAACCGTGACTAAATCAGCCACTCCTCCTTCCTTTCGCCTCTTGCGCTCTTGCCTCCCTCCTTTCCCCGCATTCCCGGCTCGATTTTTGAGGGTCTGATCATCCTCTCACGTTTCACCTCCAGCGTTCGCACAACAAAGTCGGAAACCTTCAGGAAGAAGCGCTAAAGGATCGCCAGTCAGATCAGATCTCCTACCCAGACTCAGGAGTCGCCCAAAGAGAAGCACATGCATGCTTGTTCTTCCTTGCGCCGCCGTCTGCTTCGTTCCTCGGCCAATCTGATTCCCTCTGCGCCCGCAAGACTTCAGAATCTAAGCCGTGCACAAATCCCCAAGTCCTTGTATCGGACTCGAAGCCCTATAACTTGGTCTAACTCACCGAGGACTTACTCCACTTCTCCATCGCATCAGTACGAACCGAGGAAGGCTTCAACCTTCTGGACGATCACATTCACCCTACTCCTAGTCGGTGCAGGAACCTGGCTACAGGATAAATACTGGACAGTTGACGACGCACTTCCACCTTCTCCCGATTCCTCAAAACCTCATCAAGAAACAGTTTCGCCTTTTCTCGGTATAATCGACACGTTGAAGACCATGCCTATTGAAGCTCAACCCGGAACCGTGGGCAACCTCACACCCGAACAGGAAGCAAAGCTCCAGGAGTTCTGGGTCTTGCTGCTCAAAGTGTGTGGCGTGGAAGGTACCGAGCAGTTGCAACAACAATCCAGCGAAGCACCTTCACCTACCCCAGCCCAGGAAAAGAAGAAGCCTACGAAGCGGCGATTCGGCCTCTTCGGGAGAGGCGGTGACGAGGCTGAAGACGATTCAGCTAGCGCTCAGTCAGCTAGTGACATCTCAACCAGTCTGGCCTCGATCAGCATCACCGATGGAGACGATAAGTACGGACAGTCGAAGGAGTTCCAGCAGGCTCTGGTTGATATGAAACCAGAAGAGATCCGAACCAGCTTATGGAACATGATCAAGCACGACAATCCCGACTCGTTGCTGCTCCGTTTCCTGCGGGCGCGCAAGTGGGATGTCAAGAAGGCGCTGATTATGCTGATCTCTACACTCCGATGGAGACTGCAGGAGGTCAAGCTGGACGAAGATATTATGAAGAATGGCGAGCATGGCGCGTTGAAGCAGAGCCAAACCGCTGATCCTGTTGAGAAGAAGGCCGGTGAGGACTTCCTGCTGCAGTTCCGCATGGGCAAGAGTTTCTTGCATGGTGTTGACAAGTCCGGTCGGCCTATCTGTGTGGTCAGAGTGCGCTTGCACAAAGCAGGGGATCAAGAGGTGGAGGCACTCGATCGGTTTACTGTCTACACCATTGAGACTGCTCGAATGATGCTTGCACCTCCTGTCGAGACAGCTGTGAGTATTGAAAAATTGGCTCTATGAAACCAGACACTGACTTAGACTAGTGCGTTGTTTTTGATATGACCGACTTCTCGCTGAGCAATATGGTAAGTTCATCCCAATCGTCATCTTATTGTTCTTATTGTTCTAACTTGTCACAGGACTATCATCCAGTCAAGTATATGATCAAATGCTTTGAAGCCAACTACCCGGAGTGCTTGGGAGTGGTCCTGATTCATAAGGCTCCCTGGATCTTTTCCGGTTTGTCATTTCCTCGAACTACTTTCGGCTTGCAATATTCTTACCGTTTTATCAGGAATTTGGAACGTCATCAAGGGCTGGCTTGACCCCGTGGTCGCCTCGAAGATCCAGTTTACCAAAAATGTCCAGGACTTGGAGAAGTTCATTCCTAGGGATCAAATCTGGAAAGAGCTTGAGGGTGACGAAAACTGGGCCTACAAGTACGTCGAGGCCGAACCCGACGAGAACAAGAACCAGGAGGACACTGCCAAGCGCGATGCGATGATCGCCGAGCGACAGCAACTCGCTAAGGAGTTGCAAGGTGCCACGATTGCCTGGATTGCAGCCAGCCAGAAGAAGGATGACTCGGCTTTGAAGACCGCGACTGAGACGAGGAACGGTCTTGTTGAGCGGTTGAGAGCTCAATACTGGGAGCTCGACTCGTATGTCCGGGCTACTTCCCTCTATGATCGAATCAACATCATCCAGGGTGGCGGCAAGATCGAGTTCTACCCGGACGAGGTCAAGACGAAGGGAAATGCGCTTCATGAGGGCTAGAACCTAGATGGGCGAACTAGCCTACATTGCAAAGGTCTGTGTATAAATACATTATTGTTAGAATTGTTACCCTGTGTGATATGATAGATGTCTTCTGTGGGTCTTAATGATGCCTTGTCACGGTATAACGACCTGGAAAGAGCATTACTGTATGTACAATTGGATTGGGCCATTTTTGTCTCCGGAGACACATTTCCTGATATGGTAACTGTGGCTAGCAGTAGAGTAGAGGCTCACGAGCTCCAGGCTTTCCATTGTTTCGGATTACCTTTGTTAATGAGATTGACCGGTAAATTTTCATTTGTGAACTTAGCCCATCATACTTCTGGGGAGGATCCTTATCCATCCAGTGATCTTGAAAGCATTTACCATATCGGGCATGTTTCCCACCTGGCCCTGGCCCGAGCCCAAAAATGAGCATCTCTGTCGATCATAGTTCATACACTGGCACCGCGATATAGAACTTGTCCTGAAACCATCTTGAACAAAGTCGACCGACGGACCAAACACTTTGCTTGTGTTTCAGATCTTATGTTCCCCCTGCAATTGAGGAGAAGTCATGTCTTGCATTTTCCTTGATAGGTAAGGTTGGTCTTAATCGATCAACGCGGTAATACGGTAGTTGATACAATCTGATGATACCTAGGCCATAGCTACTACCTTCTCGCAGAAATTGCGATGGCTACCTAGCAAGCATTCTTACAACCGCTTTCGAGGAGCGAGTTACGGTTGGGATAAGTTTTTTAGCGACGGCCTTGCAGTTTTGCGCACAGCGATTGGAGGACACGCATGAGGTTTATAGGATCAGTTAGCTTGCTAACTAGGTATCTACATCTTAGCCTTGATCTCTTCGAACAGAGCCTTGAGCTTGTCCATATCCGTCTCCTGAGTGGGCCAATGGATGCCGAGGCCTTCGGTCTCGTTGGGCTTGGGGATCTGCGGGTTACATGATGGTTAGTTATCGGCAATCGTCACCTCGTTTCCGATGGAAGCAGAGCGAAGAACGAAGCTTACCATGTGGAAGTGAACGTGGTCCACGACCTGGTGCGCTATGCGACCATTGTTCTGGAGGATGTTGAAGTCGGTGGCACCGACTGCCTGCGCGATTTTCTTCGCTACGGGCTGGATAGTCGTACGACAAGTTAGAAGCCTGAGCAAACAAAGTTGTGCATGGGACTGCGAGGGACCCGGGGGCTGCGTGTGGGTGAGGGGGACGTGGGTTGCTGTGCCTCTCCCAAGGTCCCCGGGGGAATGCAGCCCTTTTAAAGAGGCAGATCTCTTTGCTTTGGTAATCCCTTGTGCAGTTTCTTCCCCGGTCACCCGGTTGCGAGTCTTCAACTTACGAGGAGTTCTGAAAGGTGGTCGTCGGGGATGTCGGTGAGCTTCGCACCGTGGTACTTGGGGATGACGAGCTGGTTGTATGGATTTCACTGGTTAGTGGGTTTATTTTCTTGTTTACTTGTGATTGGAAATATGAGCTCGAGGAGAGATGGGGATTGTTAGGAGGAATAGTGGCATGGGGCGCCGATGGCTTATGCTTATGTTGTTGGGTTCGTGTGGACGAGACGAAGTGTCGTGCGGGGTTGATGCTTTCATCGTGTGGTGACGAGATGTTTGGCACCGAAGATACTCACCGCGTGGCCCTTGCTGAGGGGCTGGATGTCAAGGAAGGCGAAGACCTTGTCGCTCTCGAAGAGCTTGAACGAAGGGATATCACCTATTTGTTCATACCGTCCGTTAGCTAGCTGTTTGAATACAGGTCGTGTCGAAGGAGTAATCAAATGTGATTTGGTTTTGCGTATCGAGATGCAGAGGTGGAAGGTACCCTTGATGATCTTGCAGAAGATACAGGCCGCAGACATTTTGCTGTATATGCGCGGAGTGAGAGGCTCGGAATGCGTGGAGTTGGTTGGAAACCAGAGTCGTGATGACAGAATGCGGGGTCAAGCAAGGTCAACTTAGTCCAAGGCGGAACGCGACGGGGAGAGGGGGAGTCGGAAACGAGGAATTGGAGAAAAAAAAAGAAAGAGGGGAAAGGCGCCGACCGCGGATCGAACGCTGGTAGGTTTTGACCGAAGTTAACATATAGGATACAATAAGATCCAATCTCCGAGGAGTGGGACAAACTAGCTCAGAACCCATTTCTTGCCTTTTACCAGAGATGGCCGTGGTTTGCCCAAAAGACTCCTCTTCTCAATCTTTGGACTCTTCCATCGACACAGCTGTCGATTTTATTGTTTTTCTTTTTCTCGGTCAATGGACTTTTCATGGGTTGCTTAACAGAATTCTGACTTTTCCTGAACTTTCTAACCCCTAGATGAGGTCGTTCTGGGGGCTGCGGTGCGTGTCGTTTGGCTTTGAGGTCGGTGGGCGTAACGCCATCTCTATGTGCAAGCAGCCGCACTGCGGGTACGGTGTCTCGCTACCTATAGCGCAGCAGTCTTTCTTTCTGTCTATCGAATTGGTGTTGAAACAACTCATTCTTCCTTCACAGCTACTGGATCTTACTTATAAACATTGATTTCACTCCACATCATCGATTGTCAGGCGTATGCGACTCAAGCCACGCAGAGACTTGCCATGTACTACATTTTATGACGGTATCTTGTATCCTACGCGTCTTTCAGTTCCTCTACGATCACCCTGGTCCATATGAACTGGGTCGATCAAGTCTGAAAACAGTACAGGGCAGAATTGAGTGCATTGAGTATGCTCCTGTCTTTTAATGTCCCTTCGGCAGCACTTGCCTGAGTTGGTATAAGTCCTTGGAGAGCACTGGGTCCTTTGCGCGAAACTCACTCACTTACACTAACTGGCCACCCAAAAGGGTTGTCCTATACGATAGGCGTGCCAGAAGGACCCCAATCGCTCTCCACTAACGTTACATAGTCTACATGTGGTCTTTGCCGAGAAGCATCAGCAGACATATGATTCGGCGGGAAGACCGAGACTGCCACCCCCGCAGCATGGCAGCTCGCTATCTTATCGGGATCCTCTCTTATCGGGACAGTCACTGGACTTTGAGGGGACCCAAGTGCCAAGTACATAAACCCTGAAATTGTCGCCTGAGAAGCGCAGCATGATCTGCTTCCAGATCTACACACCAAGTCCTGCTAGGGTAGCGAGATTTGCGCTCAGACGGCCTACGCTGTTTCCATTGAGGATCATCCGGACAAACCAACGTCGACACTTTTCTGTCTCGTGGACGCAAGCCATGTTGTCTACGGAGTTGACCGAGGCTCAAGTCTCAGCTCTTAGAGCCAATAAAGATCGCCTTGCCAAGGACCTTCACCACAGCTGTCAATGGGGCTCAGGCATTCGATGGGGAGAGTAAGTACCGGACCATCCCTCGGCGAAGTACACAACTAGTCTTAGCGGTCACGCTCCGTATGGGATGAAAACAGCCTTCTTCAATCCCACCAAACAAGAGCCGTCGGTCAGCTTGCGAGCTTGGAATCCCTAAGCTAATCAAATGGAATAGTGGCCCCACGGATACAGGAATGCAGCGCCTGGCATTGTCGCAAGAGGACAAGCAAGTGAGGGATTGGTTCATTGAAACAACAAAAGCCCTCAAATGTCAAGTCACCATCGACGAGATGGGTAATATCTTTGCAGTTCGTCCTGGGCGCAGGACAGATGTGCCCCCTGTCTTTATCGGCAGTCATCTGGATACGCAACCGACGGGCGGCCGTTACGATGGAATTTTGGGTGTCCTCTCCGGCATCGAAGCGTTGAAGTCCATGGACGACATGGGTCTCGAGACAGAGGGTGGTGTAGGCGTGGTCAACTGGACGAAGTATGGCATTCGACCTTCCTCCACATGAAAGGCCTGCGCTGACGAGTACAATAGTGAAGAAGGCGCGCGGTTCCCTATCAGCATGATCTCCTCTGGAGTATGGGCTGAATGCATCCCCCTGTCGCAAGCCCACGAGTTAAAGGAAGTCCCAACGGTTGCATCTCTACCCACGGCGTCGTCAGCCCCGGAGACCATGAAATCGGCACTCGAGAAGGTTGATTATCTTGGAAGTGTCCCATGTTCATGGCGGCAGACTCCAATGGCTGCTCACTTCGAGCTTCATATCGAACAAGGACCCCATCTCGAGACTGCAGGCCAGCACGTCGGTGTCGTCACAGCCGTCCAAGCATACCGCTGGTTCCGCCTCACCATTGTCGGCAGAGATACCCATACGGGTACTACCGCTTTTGAGCATCGTGCAGATGCTTTGTATGCTTTCGCCCAGATGATGGTGCGTGCACGCGAGGTTGCTTCCTCTCATGGGTGCCTGGCCAGCGTTGGCATCGTGGAGGCCAAGCCCGGCAGCGTGAACACCGTCCCTGGTGTCGTCAGCTTTACTTTGGATATCCGCGGCCCAGAGGATGAATTGGTCAATGTTGTGGAAAAGCAATTGAGGCAGGACTTCGATGCTATCGCAGCGGAAGAAGGTAAGCCCATTGGGAAGCCTTGTCGCGTGGAATGGACTCTGGACTTCGATTCACCTGTGGTGAAGTTCCACCCGGACTGCATCGACTGCGTTCAGCAATCTGCAGAGGCAGTCGTTGCGGATTTTAACTCAACAGACCCCAAGTCTCTGACGAGAACGATCATGAGTGGTGCCGGCCACGACAGTGTCTTTACCTCGAAGAGGGTCCCGACTAGCATGATCTTCGTGCCATGCAAAGACGGGTTGAGCCATCATCCGGAAGAATTCTGCTCTGCAGATGATTGTGCAACCGGCGCATCAGTCATCTTGCAGGCCGTTATCCGCTACGACCGTAAGAGATTCTCCAGCTAGTTCAAGAGACACAACCTAGATCTATTATACGCGTTAGCCCAAACAAACGGGTATGACCCATCGTCATGACCTTATTAACAAGTATTTTACGAGAGAAGCAAAACAAATATGAAGTCATGAATCATGCCATTAATCCTAACTATTTCATGGTATCGAGACAGAAAAGCCAGGCATAATCACATTTGTTGTTTTGGGTTGAGGAAGTGCATAGTGCAGCAATTTCTGACTGGACGTCTACTCAAGCCACACTAGCAACATCCCGTGTAGCCCTTGGAAGACCTGCAGGCGACATTCCTCTAGGAAGAGGGAGCACCACGGCCACGGCCGAAGCCACCACGGAAGCTGGGGGCGAACTCGCCGGGGGCACCACCCTCCTTGTTCTCACCCTGCTCGCGGCGGCGGTAGCCACCCTCACGGGGAGCACGGGGACGGCGCTCGCGCTCCTCACCACCCATCATGCCACGGGGGGGAGCGTGGGAACGCTGCTGCTTAATGTGGGTAGCGGGGACAACCTCAGCGGGGAGGTGGAGCCACTCGCGGAGGTAGTCAAGACCCTGGAAACGGAAGAAGCATTAGATCCTGGTCCAACGTGTCTTTGGGGGAGAGAACGCGATAACATACCTCGGGGGTGAGGGTGTAGTAGTAGTACTGCCACGAGAAGCGGGTCTTGACGTAACCGCGGGAGTCAAGGGACTGGAGGGCCTTGATCACGTAGAGGTTCTTGGTGTCAATGTCGCCATGCTTGGGAAGGTTGAAGTCCTTCTTGGCCACGAGCACACCCTCTGCATAATATTCGTTAGTAAACTCATTCTCATTCTGTCGATTCTTTGACAACCCTCCACACAGCCACACATCAAGACGGCAACGACATAAGGTGGAACTGTGAATCGAGACACCAAGTCCATCCAAATATCCATCCCATCCCATGGGACTTGGAAGGCGCGACGAAGAACAAAGAGAATGAATCACATACCGCGGAAGAGGTACTCGTGGATCTTCTTGCGGTCTTCCTTGGGGATAAGCCTGTGAAGGGTTAGTCAGGGTTCATATCATCATTGATATACCGCATCTTCAACAAGAAGGGGCTATACTCACATTGTTGCGAGTTCCTGGCGCTCTTCGGGGAATCGCTCTAACAACGCGCGAAGAGGGTGGTTTAAGAGTAGTTGATGTTGAGTGGAGCGGGCTGCCCGGCGAGTGGAAAAAGTGCGGTGATTCCCAATCCGGAAGCGCTTATAGGGTTGTCGCCCTAATCGATTTCCGCTAGCTTGATAAGGTTGTGTCACGTGTAGCTGCTGCATCACGTGGCTCTAGGCCTGAGGCCCTGCGGCGGACAGGCAATTAGTCATTGATCCGCTCTTATCGGGGGAAACTCTCCGCATTGCGTTATTACTTCTAGACCTCCTCCCAGCAAGCGCCTCTCGCCTCGTCAGATCGACCTTGACTCCACCTTGAACAACTGTCGCAAGGGTTGAGTTTCTACTCATCTTTCTTCTCATTGCGGAACTTATATCAGCCTTTTTCATATTACGCGCAGCTCAACACACAAACAACATGGCGCCGCAAAACATCAACGTGCTTCTTTCATCCTTCCCGGGACTTTCACTTCCCTCCACGGTCACTTTCTCGCTGTCCTCATCCTCGAGTCTCGCCGATCTCACAGATAAAATCTCATCCTACCTTCCGCCCACGATCCCACTCCACTCCTTGATTCTGACGACCACAAACAACAAACAACTCCTCCCCTCCGCCGAACCGCTCCTGCCTTATCTCGCCAGCAGCACGAATGGCGACGCCCCCACCACCGTACCATCCCTCCTTCTCCCCCTACGGCTCAGCGTGCCCCTCTGCGGAGGCAAGGGTGGTTTCGGATCTCAGCTGCGCGCCGCCGGTGGGCGCATGTCGAGCAAGCGCAAGCGCAACCAAGGCGACGACAATGGCTCCAGCCGCAACCTCGACGGCCGGCGGCTCCGCACCGTCAACGAGGCCAAGGCGCTGGCCGAGTACCTGGCGCTGAAGCCGGAAATGGACAAAAAGGAAAAGGAGGAGCGCCGCCGCCGGTGGCAGGCCGTCGTGGAGGCGGCGGAGAAGCGGCAGGAGGAGCTGAAGAACGGCGGCGGGAAGCAGAAGATCGACGGCCAGTGGATGGAGGATAAGGAGGAGATGAACGAGAAGGCGCGCGAGGCGGTCTTGATGGCCATGAAGGACGGCATGTGGACGGACAATCTACGCGATACGATCCTCGGGGGCTCGAGCACCAGCGCCAGCGCCAGTGGAGGCAGTGATCGGGATAATTCGTCTACTGGGGAGGAGAGTGAGGGTGATGAGGCTGAGGAGAACGAAGAGGAGATGGTTGATGCGCCTGGCCCGTCAAATGCGACTCGCAGCAGTGCGCCTCGGCGTTATATCGGGTTCGATGAGGATGATGAGTTCATGAGTGACTCTGAGGAAGAAGATGAGGTTGAAGATGTCAAGGGAAAGGGAAAAGCGAAGGCTTGAAGAGGTAGATTGCATGATGTTCAATGGTTTTGCGTGGCGCATGGTCTGGGCTGGGCATTCATTCACTGTTACTTTACTCTGGTTTTCTACTATGCTTTTTATGCATGGTTGTTTTCGTGTAACTACTCAATAGCCAAGCAAATGTTGTTTATACCAATTGAAGATTATGGATATGAGGTCTACAAGAAACCTGGAGAGATTCCACTACCAGTCGCAAGTTATCACAAGCCAATCACTCTCTTGGTTCGCCACAGCCACTTTTTTCCGGCCCGCCAAGCGGACCATCGATGCTATCAGCTATCAGTCAACACTATCAAAGTTTCTTGCTGCAACGCCTTTTTACCGCATTCTCTGCTTGTACAAATTCCAAGATGCCGCCATATCTCGGGCGCATTGGCCCAAGAGCGACTAGGATATTCCGACTTCCGTCGCAACTCCAGTCCCGCGCCAAACCACTCCCGTTGTACCTTTTGACGCGGCCGGAAGTCCTTGCCCGCCGCACGCCCGCGAGTCGATATCTCAGCAAAGAGCTACGCAATTACTCCACGACCGATTCCCCTCCCGATATCTCCTCGTCGATCTCCCCGGATTCGCTGCCTGTCTGTTGTCCAGGATGCGGGGCGTATACGCAGACCATTGAGCCCGCCGAGCCTGGGTACTACAGCAAAACCAGAAAGCACGTACGGAAGCTTGGGCAGGAGGCGCAACAGCTTGTCGCAGCCCCGGACGCTGAAGGGGAGAAGGCGGCAGAAAGAATCCAGCAATATCTCGCGAAAGAAGCTGCAGAGTTGGACGGGTCGTCGGCCAGACGTGAGTGATATTTCAGTTGCACCCCCCATCTCCTCCTTTGCATTGTGTCTGTGCTGACACACGGATGATCCCCCATTTAGCCAAGAGACATCTTGAGAAAGATGCTGCTGCTGCTGGCGAATATCTCGCAAAGACACAAGCGCCCGTACAGATTTGTGACCGATGCCACGACCTCCTTCATCACAACAGGGCCGTCCCGGCCATCTCACCCTCGATCGACTCCATCCGGGCATACCTGGACGAGTCGCCGCACAAGCATAACCATGTTTACCATTTGGTGGACGCAGCCGACTTCCCCATGTCTCTCATTCCAAACATCTACAAAGCACTGAACATCATGGAACCACGCTCGCGGAACCGTCGCTCGGCCACCCACCAGTATTCTGGCTCCAAGAGGCTCCCAACCCTTCACATTGTCATCACGAGGTCCGATCTCTTAGCCCCTACGTGGGATTTGGTCAACTCGAAGATGGAGTACATCCGCAAGATGCTCCGCATCCAACTCAATCTGTCGTCCGAAGAGTTCCGTCTGGGCCAGGTGCACATGATCAGTGCGCAGCGAGGCTGGTGGACCAAGCAGGTCAAGGAGGAGATTCAGAACCACGTGGGTGGCGTCTGGGTAGTTGGCAAGGCCAATGTCGGCAAAAGTAGTTTCATCGAGGCGTGTTTCCCCAAAGACTCGAGAAATCTGGAGAAGATCGCGGACCTCGTGGAACAACGGGAGGTCGAATCGAAGCGGCAGGGCCAGCAGCAGCCGGAGGAGAACCTAAGCTTTCTCGACTCGGACAGCCTCCTGCCCCCGGCACCCCGTGAGGACATGTTCCCCGTGCTCCCCGTGGTCTCTACCCTCGCCGGTACGACCGTCTCCCCGATCCGCATCCCTTTCGGCCGCGGCCGGGGCGAGATGATCGACCTCCCCGGCCTCGAACGCGGCGACCTCACCAACTACGTGCGGCCCGAACACCAACGCAACCTCATGATGACGAAACGCGTCAAGCCCGAGCGCCTGACCGTGAAGCCGGGCCAATCGCTCCTCCTCTGCGGCGGCCTCATCCGCATCACCGCCGTGCGACCCGACGACATTATCCTAGCAGCCTGCTTCGTGCCCTTCGAGACCCACGTCACCCGCACCGACAAGGCCATCGAGATGCAACGCGGCGACCGCCCCTACCCCGGCGACCCCATCCTCCGCGATGACACTGTGGGCACCTTCGCCTCGGCCGGCCGCATCGACCTCCAGTGGGACGTCACCCACTCTCACCTCCCCACCTCCCTCGCCAAGGCCGTCGCGGACCACGGCAAACCCATCCCTGAGCTCCCCTACCGGGTCATGGCCGCCGACGTCCTGATTGAGGGCTGCGGCTGGGTCGAGCTCACCGTGCAGACCCGCGCCAGGTCGCACGCCCTTACCGTCGATGAGTACGAAGAGGACATGGACGACGACGACCTGCTCGGCGAGTCCAAGGATGTGGCGGCCTTCTCCCGTACGCCCCAGGTCGAGGTCTTCACGCCCCACGGTCGTCATATCGGATCCCGGGCCCCCCTGGAGTGCTACAAGTACATCGCCGAGAAACAGGCGGCGGTGAAACGGCAGGCGCGAGGTCGCGGCCGCCAGAGCATTAGCCATCAGAAACGGGTGAAGGGCAGCCGTCGTGCTTCCTCCTCTTAGGTTCCCTGTTCTTTTTTTCTTTCCCGTCAGGTCCTCCGAGGGTAGGTGTAGGCATGTAATTATATACTACCTTGTCATGTTCCGCATAGCGATTGGTGTTGTTCATTTTGTCATTGTCGTATAGAAAGAAGTGGTGGTGCGAGTCTCGGAATTCTCCTCTCGATGGCATTCCACTTGTTTGTTTTCTAGTTTAGCATAAATCAGAGCATCTAGATATATTTATTACATGTTTGCAAATGTTTGGTTCAGGTTTGTTCTTTGTTTGTTCTCGTGTTGTGGTAGTCACCAGGTTGTGCCGCCTTAGTCTGCCCCGAACTGTGGTTCAAAAATATGTATCTCGGCATACCGAGAACCCTCCACCGGACTACTCTCACACATCTAAGCAAGACAAGCTAAACAACAAATCAGGCGATATTTAGACGTAAAATCATCAACTTTATAATTCTTGTTCTTTTTCACATGCCATATTTGAAAATATCAGTTCCTCCAAACCGTCTGTCTAACTGGTCTAAAGGCAGGATGGGACGGACCCTTCCTCCATGCAACCCACACTAGCCCTAATCTAACGGGTACTTCAATCACATTTACTCAATGTTGGCGAAGTGGAACGAGGGCTGACCGGGGACGGCGTTCTCGGCGAAGAGGCCCTCCCTCTTCTCACCACTACCCAGCACCTCCCCGGTCTTGCCGCCCTCGTCGACGGCGATGATCTCGAGGGCCTTGGCGCCGGTGACGCGGGTGATGGCGCCCCTCATCTCCTGGAGGACGGCGAACTCGTCGAAGGGCAGCTTGCGCTCGAAGACGGTCTCGGGGGCCTCCCGGTTGACGACGAGGCGGCGCTTGAGGGCCTGGACGAAGGGCATGGCCTTCTTCATCTCGCCGAGCTTGCCAACCTGGGCGTTGAGCGCCTTGTCGTTGATGGCCAGGCCGTCGAAGGACTCGCGCACCAGGTCGATGTACTTCTCCTGCCACTGCGGGTACTTCTTGGCGGCGTAGATGGAGAGCTTCTTGGGCTTGCGCGGGTCGAACGTCACCTGCTTGCCCTTGGAGAGCTTCTTGACGAAGGCCGCCTCGGCTGAGGTGATGTTCGACGAGGTCGCGCGCGTGTAGGCCAGCGCGGCGGAGAGCTCCGGCGAGACCTCAGGGACGCTGGGGAATTGCGCCTTGTGGATGGTTTCGGGCTTGGTGGTGATGTTAGATTTTCCTTCCTGCAAGGATTTTGGGGGGGGGTTGTATGTATGAATTGTGTTGGGAGAGACGAACCTTCTTCAGGATCTCCAGCCAGACGTATTCGGCCCAGTGAGGAGCAATGATGGCGATCATCAAAGCCTGGAGCTCGATGTACCGCGCCACCATGTCGCGGTGCAGACCGACTCCGGAGGTCGAGGTGGCCTCACGGTAGTAGTCACGGGCACTGACGAAGTCGTACAGACCGGACTTCAAGGCGAGCTTGAAGTTGGTGCTGGTTGGTGTTAGTTAGCTACTGGCGGGTAATCATTCAGGTAGTTTAGGGGGTGCTTACTCCTGGTAGTGCTTCTTGGTCTCACGGACCAGGCTGTTCAGCTCGTTGTCGAAGAGCTTGTCCCAGAAGGAATCGGCAGGGCCGGTGCGCAGACTCTCATCCTTGATGGTCTCCTCCATCCAGTCCTTCAGGGTGTGAAGACGGAGAATGTTGCTGTTGGCAACGGTCTCCTCGAAGTTGGCATCCTCGATACCATCACCGGCATCGGCGAAGGCGATACGAGTAGCATCGGCACCGAACTTCTCGACGGCATCCTTCAAGGTCAAGAAGTTACCCGTACTCTTACTCATCTTCTCACCGTTCAGGAGCAAGTGACCGTTGGCACGGACACCCTTGGGCCAGTACTCGGGAGGGAAGAGGGCAACGTGGATGTACAGGAAGAAGGTCAAGTGGTTGGGAATGAGATCCTTGCCGGAGACACGGACATCCAAGGGGTACCAGTACTCGAACTCTCTGCGCAGCTGCAGCAGAGCCTCCTTGTTAATCCCGCTCTTGGAGATGAGCTCGTCGCTGAGCTCACGGCGGCAGAAGACGTAATCCCAGACCTCGTCGATCATCTGCTCCGCCTTGATGTTGAGTGAGCCGAGAGTCTTACCATAGCGGTCACCGTGCAGGAGGTGAGCGATGGTGTAGTAGGCCATGTAGACCGTAGAGTCACTCAAACTCTCAACCAGGAACTGTTGGTCCCAGGGCAACTTCGAACCCAGACCGTACGTTCTGGCGCAAGCCCAGCGGTTGAGCCAGGAGAGGTTCTTCTCGAAACCGTTCTTGGTCTCGTTGGAGTAGGTGTTCAAGGTGTTGACCACGTGGTCCAGGGTGTCCTGCTGCCACTTGGCGTCGTTCTCACCATAGTTCAGGAACCATTGGCCGAGATAGGCGACAACACAGTCATCTCCACTGCGGCTGACAACCTTGCCCATGGGGTCGGCGAAGGGGAAAGCATCTCCGCTGTCGTAGAGAGCCTTGCGGATCTTGTCCTTCACGGCGCTGACGGGCTGACCCTTGAACTCACCAACAAGCATGGTACCCTTGTAGAAGGCCTCACCATAGGCGAGTTCCTTAGCCTGTGCCAGCTGGTTGACATCCTTAGGAGAGTTGATCTTAAGCTGCTTAACCAGAGCAGGAGCAGTGAGGTTTCCGTAGGTTGGTGTCTCAATAAGAGGGAAGATTTCGAGCTCAGCCCACTCCTTCTTGATGCCGTAGTACTCGGCCTTCTTAGCAAGATCGAGCAAAGTGGCGTAGTCATCAGGACTGTCAGAGGGGACGGAGGTGACGACACCGGTACCCTTGGTAGCCGAGACACCTTCCATGGGGAGGATGCGGACACCTTCGGTGTGGAAAGAGAGGGGAGCGTTGACGAGGGTTCCGACGAAAGCCGATCCGGGGGCCTCGACGACAAGAGGCAGCTGATCCTGAGACTTGGGGAAGTTCTCGCTGGTGAAGAAAGTTCCCTGGAAGGCCATGTTCCAGGCAGCTCGCTTGGTGGCAACAAAGTACTCCTTCTCCTTCACCTTGTAAAGACCATAGGTGATCTTAGGGCCGAGGAAGCAGCAGGTCTGGCCATACATGGTCTCAGGGCGGAGAGTAGCAGGGACAAAGTAGACGCTCGCATCCTCTTCAATCTTACCCTTGACCAAATCAGCAATCTGAGGGGCCCATTCCTTGACCTTCAGCTTCATGGCGGTGTATTCCTGAGGTCCGATACCCTCACCCTCGGTTCGGTCGTGGTCCATGCAAGGCTGTCCATCCTTGGGGGAGTAGATGGTGTAACGGCTACCGTACTGGATCTTTCCGAGCTCGTGGAGGCGGTTCATCTGCCAGCGGACAAAGGCGTCATAGTAGGGGTTGGCGTCAGTGGTGACGAACTGTCTGCGCCAGTCAATTCCGGCACCAATGCTGTCGAGATCGCGGATAGCGAGAGGGGGGAAGTGCTGAAGCCAGTAAGCGGCATCGGCGAACTTGTGGATCTCCTCAAGAGGGATACCGATAGCCAACATGATCTGGAACTGGTACTTCATCTTGACAGTCTTCGCGGCGGCCTTGCTCTTCTTGCCGGAGAACTTCTCGGCCTGCTCGGCCTTGACCTCCTGGGTCGGGGCGGCGACGGCAGCCTGCTCCTGCTCACTCTCCTCCTTGTAGTTCTCAAAGCTCTGGCCGAACTTCTGGACCTCATCACGGAGCTTGTCGGCGCAAGCCTTGATGGGCATACCGGTGCAGTGGAAACCCAGAGGGAAGAGAGCACGCTTGCCCTCCATACGGGCCACACCAGTCATGAACTCAACCTTACTGGCAGTGAAACTGTGACCAGCGTGCAGAGTACCGTTCATGTAGGGATAAGCCATGGTTCCGAAGAACTTGGGGTGCTTCTCGCGGAGCTCCGCCGCGGAGATGCTGCCGTAAGGCACCTCAGCGTCGGACGGGGCATCGACCTCGAAAACCTTGTTCTCCTTCCATTGCTGTTGGTATTTCTTCTCAATAGCAATAAGGGTGTCTCTCTTCTCGGTCTGTGAGTGAAATCGAGGTTAGCACGGATTGCATGACAAAGAGGGGCTTTTGCGGTAGGGAGAGGGGCAAGCGAGTCGCACGTTTTCCAGCTTCAGAGTGTTTTTGGTGCTGTTGCCCTGATCGAGCGCAGCTGCGGAAGCAGCAGCGGCTGCCATTGCTCCGGATAGAAGGTCTTCTTTTCGTAGAAATGAAGATAAAGAAGCCCTGGGGCAAGGATGGAAAGCGGAGTCTTATAGATCGTCTCGAGTCGCCGCGGGGTTCGAAAAGAATTCCTCCGTATGTGGGAAAAGGCGGTCCGTGAGTCACCGCCTGCCTCTTTCTACTCCGAGCTCGCTGTAAACCAATTGACTGTTTTTGAGATGGATCTGAGATTCGATAGGGAGGTGGCTTTGTCTGGCTTTAAGTAGAGTGAGCATGAGCTAGGGTCTTATCTGGGATCTGTTGCTTATGGGTGCAGTTTGTGACTCACAGGGATAACATAGTGGTGAAGGAGTGTATTGTTTGTACACCGCAGATTTAAATACTGGCTGAGCCGGGGAGGAATGGACGGATCTATGCTTAGTGTTGAGGATGGTAGATTACATAGAACCTCATTCAGGTTTAACTACAGGCCAACCCTGACCTCACCTAGTTTCAACCCACTATCTAGATGACCAATTCTATCTGACATGCGATATTGTATTGCGTGCTACGTCGAACACATGCATTGGTAGTCCTGGAGCCCGGCCGTATCGCATTATATCACGTGACTCGATATCGGCTGCTTTTCTTTCCGCCCAAAAATCAACGCGGAAGCTTCCAACGAGCAGCGAAAGCACCTTGAACCACCGCGGACAAATTGCAACCAGTCGCTGCCGGATCTGCGCTGGAATCCATTTCTGTATCACTACAACATAGTATACAAAGAGCTTGCGAGCCACTCCCGTCACAATGGTCAACGTTTTCAAGCGGATGCGGAAGCTGAAAACTGTAAGTTAGCCATCATCCATACCCCCTTGTCGATACAACCCCGGAAGACTGACTTGGACTTTGTTTCACCCCTACAGAAGGTAAGACCTTCTTGATACAGATTCAGACATACCTCCGTGGCCCCTGTCATCTCCTCGAGCCTCCACACGACAATCACCGACTGTTATCTCCATGAGACTCGACACTGACGGAGAGCAACCCATCAACTTCACGAAACCTCTCGAGACTGACATCTGCAAATCTACCCAGCTTCTCAACGTCCGCATTGGCACCGGAGCCGCCGTCTTCCCCGCGGCCCCCTCGGCGACCCAAGAATTCCCCGCGATCACCCGCCTGCACCTGACCTACGCCCGCAAGATCTACGGCGGCCACCAAGGCGCCCGGCATTTCTGGCGCAACTGCCTCCCGCGGCTCAAGTATCACAACCCGGGCATCCCGATGACTGTCCGCCAGACGGAGGACCAGGACGGGCCCGCCGCCCTGAGCGTCTACTTCGCCCAGAAGACCAGCACGACCGCCGCCTCGCTCGCCGCCGAGGACCTCAAGGATGCCCACGCCCCGGCGCCCGCCGACAACGAGCAGGTCGCCGTCCTCGACGTCCGGAACCTCCCCTACACCGAGATCTGGAACAAAGTCAAGAACCTGACCAACGCCACGGAGATCCCCGCGACGGCCCAGGAGGCGGCCGAACTGCGCAAGCTGGACGAGATGGCCGCCAAGTCCAAGACGGATCGCACTCGTATAGCGGCCAAGCGGCAGGCGAAGAAAGACCAGGAGCGCATGCTGAAGGAGGCTAGAGAACAGGTCGAGAGGTTGAAGCAGCTCTAAACAAAACAGAAGTTGTTGTTGACTGTTTTTTTGCCTCTCTTTCTTTTGTTTCTCTTTCCTTTGCGCGTTTCTCTCCACCGTCCCTTCCGTCTTATGTGTGTGTGGGTGGTGTCATAACTTTCCAGCTGCTTTCAAGATGGGGTTACAGTTTTGGTTTGTGGGGTTCACGACTTGGTCATGGTCACTTGTAGCATACTAGCATTTTCCCTGTTTCATATTTCCTATACTCTTGTTCAATTATGTGGTTTGCGTCGAGAATATCACATCCCTACCAAGGGAGTTTGTACTACGGTTCTTGTGGTGTTATTTGACTTTCTCTATGGTTTGCTGCAATTCTCTATTTGTAGCGAAGAAGGTCTGAAAGTCCTGTTGACATATTAGATTTATAGACAATTTGCCGCGGTCATGAGTCATGCAAAATGGAACAATAGCCTCCAACCCGAGCATGTATCTAACTTCATTCATGTGATGCATTCGTAACATGCCCAGTAGGATCCATAATGCGAAAATATACAGTCAGTAAGAAAGCAGGTGTACTTTCCTGGAAAGTACAAATTGCTACCGATTTTGAAGGACTCTTATACCACCATTGGTGGTGAAAAAGAGCAGCCAAGCTCGGGCAAGGATGGGAACTCAGGAAGCCGAACTGGCAACCCTCGTTGGCCCTTCACAATACACGAATAATTCTTTAAGGATATCTCCAAACGAACACAAAAAAAGGAGCAGTGCTGAGCATATTTTCATATTAAGCGTGGTCCGGAGTGTAGCTGGTTTCACCGAGCATCGCCTGTCCTGCTGCTACTGTTGGGGTCGGAGTCTGACTATAGGCGGCGCCTGGCTGATTCAACGTCGATGGGGGCGCTCTCGCTGCTGCCGCAGCCTGTAGTCTCTGATCCAAGGCCTTGAGAGCCAGCGCGCGTCGTCGCTCGGCCTCCTCCCGCTTGGCCATGGCTCGTCCCCCACGCTGGTTCGAAAGAAGGCTGGGAAGACCAGCTTCGCCGCGGGCCAGAACCTGTTGATTGCCGGATGCAATGTCCTCCTCGGAGAAGGGGATGCAGACCTTCACCGCAACCAAGAGCGCATAGACCTGGTCGGAGAAGAAAGCGATGGGCGGCTGGAGGAGGTCGGGGAATAGGCATGCGAATGCGAAGGTCTCGCTCGCGTCACCCCTGATGCCCAGTCCGTCAGTCGAGGTGCCGGTCAGGTCGGGTTGGCGCTTGAAAAATCGCAGGTAGGTCCAGCTCGTCACGAGACCAAGCCAGGAAAGGAGCGCGGCGGCCCGGGTGCCGACGACTACACCGCTGATCGTGTTCAGGAGGAGGAAGAGGGCGGGGAAGTGCTTCACCCGCATCTTAACCAAGCCCTGGAAGATGGTGACTGTGTGTTCGGGGACGAGCTGCTTGAAGGCGACGAGGAAGGACGCCTGGATCGAGATGCCGCCGCAGATCTGCGTGACGCTGGAAGCCGGGAAGTCAGCAGGGAAAGCGCACGATGTGGTGCATTCGCGCGGGGTGAAAGGGGCGTACCCGCTGCTGGCGCTGCCGCTCATCGCAGTACCTAAGAGATAGATAGGTACGATGACCACATTAGGGATCACTGCGATCGTGAGGATGAACTTGGCAAACTCTCGTGAACCCCATGCCCGCTCCAGGTACTTCCCGCCGTAGAAGAGGGTGGCGGCGTTCAGAAGAACAGTGAAGATGTTCCGCTCCACAAATGTAGCAGTCGCGAGCGTCCACGGGTAATAGAGGAGATATGACGGAACAAGCGTAAGGTAGGGTACGATGGGGGTGACGGTCGGTGTGCCCCCCGTGGTGTCAATTTGGCGCCATCGGGCAATGTTGTACAGCAAAGAGAGGGTAAGGAGACTGACGAGGCAGATTCGGGTGGCCGGAGGGATGTTCACTCGGAGAGCCATGATGAAAGAGGGACTGAGAATAAGAGCTCTGGCGGTTGCTAGACCGCGGGCTGATTGATGGAGCCCAGCTGGGAAATGTGAGGTTGTGAGGAGGGACAAAGTAGTTGAAGGATAGATAGAAATTCAGGCCGAATCAACTCAGCTTGCTATTATTAAGGTGTAGAGAACAAACACCTCCCGAAGAACAGTCGGGAGTCCCGAGACGAGTCCTTTTTGGGATAAGCTGCAAGGATAGTAGGATCGCATATATATGATTGGTCACCTTGCAGGGCCCTACCTGAACGGGGTCTCATCCTTAAAAGAGCCTGGCATCACCGGTGCTTGGACCTTTTGGACTACGGAGGATGTACGTACCTAATACCTAGCCTTATCACAGATTGTGGAGTAAATACTAGAAATAAGGGGGGGAAAAAGGTTTCCAGCGTGGCCCGATTATTCTTCAAGATTTCTTCCGTATAATAGCGAAGATTGAATACATCATGGTGACAATGGAGTCTGTCTTGGTTCGGGCCATCCGACTTAGCATGACCCTGATGACAATCGGGCATGTGCTCCGAATTCTTCTCTGCAGTATTCCTACTGTAGCAGTCTTCTGATATGGTTCGTTGACAGAAGGTGGGGAGCCTAATTGATATCCATGCAAAAGCTAGACTATAGACAGGAGGTAACACAGAGCGACATTTACATTTATTTGCACCGGCGGGGGGCGGGAGGGATTTAGCCCACAATGCATGCATGCACCAAAGATGATGTACAACGAGCGGATCGACCGGCCAGCCCAGCAAAAGGATGGACCGCACCAAGATCCAGATCGACTATTGAATACAACCCCTGTTGGTGGTGAGTACGATCTGACAGATACTTACTATCACTGAGAGGCTCTAGGTATTGAAGTAGACATGTCTACGAGCTGAAGACAGATCAATGGCAATCAAATCCCCCGTGACGGATTTGAGGGGTAATTCTTCCAGCAGCCAGCCTAGCCCTTAACCATGTGTTCAGGAAATGATGCTCCATGGACATGCAGTCGACCTGATCAGAATAAGGTAACCAACCAGAAAATAAAAAGAGAGTTGGCCCCGTTTGCACTAGTCCCAACCCGGCCCAGCGGCCAGGTCGATCCGCTGGCCGTCAATTTGATGGTATCTGATGGTAATTCGATGGTAATTTGATGGTACGGGTTTAGTCAACTGCACGCTAACCATGGCCTAGACGCCACAACGAGTCAAGCGCCCCCCCCATCATCCCCCGAAATTGTCCCAAGTCAACACCGTCCGTCCGTCTGGCTGTCTGTCTGTGTCGAAATTATTCACTGTCACGGATTCAATCATTTTCTGGCTGGAATTGCTGAAGTTGAGAAAACTAGACTTGAGAAGCACTGAACAAACAGACCGACAGAGTGACCAGACTGTTAGACTGTCTGTCTGCCTGTCTGACTGGAGACATAACTGGAAAAAAACACATCTGAAAAGAGTGTTTTGAGGGTCGTCCATCCGAGTGTCCGGCCTGAACCTCTCTCTCTCTCTCCCTCTCTCTTTACCCACATACCGTACCTGGTCTTGCTGCCGCTCCTGCTGCTGCTCCTGCTGCTAGACTACTGCCTCGAAACTAAGGGTAGTTCCTCATCCGTCCGTCTGGCCTCCCTCTAACTTAACCTCTCCATCAGTCAACTCAACTCAAATCTTCCTTTAGAGATCGCTCGCTGCCATCCCATCTCATTCCCCCAATTATTTTCGTATCTCTTCTCTATTCCTACAGTTCTCCACGGACCCTCTCTCCTTTGGTTCTCTCTTTCTCTCTCTTTTGCCCCCCGTCATCCTCCCCCCTCCTCGCCCCCCCCAATCCGCCCCTCTCTTCTTTCTTCCCAAACACTTGGTGTTGCTTCTCCGGTCTCTGCAGTTCGCTAGCGGGTCTACCATCGTCAAGCCACACGTTGGTGTCGATTTCCTCCCGTCCCGATATTATTCGTTCTTCACATTCCCTTTCAACCTCCATTTCGTACTGCTGTCAGAGAAACTTCTCTTTCGTCCTAACAATCTCGTCAGTGGGAGCTTGTTGTAGAATGTTCCCTAGTCATTTGCACGCTTTGTGACCATCTTACTGCCTTTCTCATCTGACATTTGTAGCCTGCGTCCGGGCCCTGCATCTTTAACCTCTCCCTTCGCATACTGGTCGTCTCCCTTGTCACAGCCTTGGCTGCGTCTTTACCCGTCTCGTTCTCCCCTCTTCTCCAGCAAAGCTACCAGCTTCGAGAATTCTTAGCACGAAAGAATTTGCTCCACAGTGCTTAATCAGTCGACTCCCGGGAACTCTCACATCTTCTGAAGCTTCATTTTCCCATCTCGCGCCATTGCTCATCTGTCTCGTCGGAGAAGCTTTTCACTTCTGGCATGCTAGCGGACCCTACCTCTTACTAGCTGTCATACATGTAACAATGGCACACCCTGATCTCACATCACATCATGTCAATTACCTAATATGGAGGTATGTATCAATTTCCTTTTGAGCCAACCTCGTTGTCTGCCCATACCCTCGTTCCTGTTTCGTCTCAGCGCAATCACTGGCTGTGGCCCTGGTGCATCTTCCGCTGACTCCATGATAGGTACCTCCAAGAATCAGGTAAATTCATGTTTTCTTGTGGTTGACAAATGTTCAAGCATTTGTTAGTCCCGCTGACGCTCGTTTATAGGACATGGCGAAGCTGCAATCACATTGCAGCGCGCGTGGAATCATGACCCGCAGAGTTTGCCATTTGCCCCATACATCAAAACCCATGCTCTTGTCTCGTTAGTACAAAAAGGCCTACAGTATTACGAACTGGAGCATTCTATTGATCGGGTATGAACACAATTCTTTCCATGTTATCCTCAAGTATCTATCTTCACCATCCAACTCTTGGTCGCCATTTTGCGTGGATATGAAAAACGAAGAACGGTGCATAGTCTAATTTGCAACATAGGATGGAAATGCGACATCTTTTTCACCATCGACTTATTTTTTCGGACCAGCTCCCTTGGACCCGGAGACGTCAAAGGTGCAAAATGGCCCGGAGGAGGCAGCAGTTGGCACAGACCAGGCGCCTGTCTCGCCCGCAAGCAAAGTTGCGCGCGAGAGCGGCGGCGGCGGCGGCGGCGGCGTGACCAACGGTCATTTGACGGCCGAGGCTGCCGCCCCCCAGCCCGTCCCAAATGTTAAGAAAGCTCGCAAAAGCGACCGCCCAGAAACCAACGGTGATGAGATGCCGATGGAAGTAGATTCCAATGGGGTCACACATTCAGAGGTCAAAGCCGCAGAGGCAGCCGAAGAGTCGCCATCAACAGCCGAGCTGGCGGTGGATGGGGATGGCGACGTGAGCATGGGCATCCGACCGGAATCGCAGGACCACCAGGAACCACCCGCACCACCACCGCCAACCTTTACCCTGACAACCGGCCACAGCGTTGGCGTACAGATCACCCCCGCCAAGGCGGCCGACCTGGCACCCGACACCGCCCTCCTGGAGGTGGCTGGTGACGATCACGTGACTAGATCACTGTGGCGTCCCAATGACCCCACCGTTGTCGTCGCCGCTGGTGATACATTCTGTAGTCTATGGAGATTGTCGTCAACCGCGCCTCCCGCGCAAGAGAAACTTGTCGAAAACAATGGCGCCCGTACATGTGTCTCAGCAGTCTCCTGGGAGCCCAACGGACACAAGTTAGCTGTGGCGACATACAATGATATGAGAGGCTCGATCACGATGTATGACGTCTTTGGACACGCCGTGGACCTGCTCCCAGAAGTACCGCGGATGATCACCGGTTTGCATTGGGCGGAAAATGGCTCGAAATTGATTGTGGTTGCTTCCGATAGTCGTATTTCCGAGCTTGCCCTGTGGGACGATTCCCTACGTCCGGATGAATTCCCCTCCCCGCAGGTCATTGACGGGACTGTACTCGATCTCTGCTGGCTGGGATGCAGCCAAGTCTATGCTTGTGGCCCTGGCACTGTCTATCAGTGTGATGTGGATTCGAGCGTTCACATCTCAAAGACTTTCAATTCGAGCAATGCAGAGAGGCTTTGGGCTTTCATCCGTTGTGCTAATGTTGGCTCCTCACCCGTGGCCGTTGCCGCATCTTCCGCCAATGCTGCCCTCTGGGTACCGACTCACGATATACACCTTGACGATGCTCACGAAGGCGAGATTACTGCAATTGAAATCAAGCCAAACGGAGAACAGTCTGCGGTAACCCAAACTGTCTTCATGGCATCATCTTCAACGGATGATACGGTGAAAGTCTGGCGGATTGATCTGGATTCAAAGCGTTTTGAATGTATCCATCAACTTTCCCTCGGTCCCTCATCGCCCGCTCTGGCTGCTAGCTTCTCACCAGATGGCTACGCCCTTGCGGCTGCCAGCAAGGACAGTCTGCTTATCTGGAATGCACAAAGAGGCGGGACCGCGATGGCTGCATGGAAAGCCCCAGGACGTGAAGAGCGGAAAACAGAAGATGAGTCAGAGGGCCCCGTCAACGGACCTAATGGAACTGCAGAACCGGTCTTAGATCGTTCTCTGGCGTGGGATACTGATGGCAAGAAACTAGCGTTTGGATTCGGTAACCAGGTATGGCATTCTTGACCATGGCGAGTTCAACATGCTAATCAGGATAAAATAGTTGGCCATCGTCAATCTGCAGCGCTGAGTTCTTCAAATCGATGACAATACACCATCGTTCAGATTCTTGCGACACCATTTTGAGATTACGATCGATGACTATTCGATGCACATACTGTACGTCACTTCATTCAGCGGCGATGAAGGCAAACCGGGAATACAAGCCAGCTGCAACATCATGGCTTTGTGCCTCGAACAAATCTCGTCTTTGCGCTCCTGGTTCTCGGCAGGTCCCGATGTACCATGTTATCGAAGCGCAATCCCGGAGAGCATCCATCACGCCTACAAAATACACCTTTACAGCTATACTACCATAATTATAGTACTTGCTTCGATAAATACTTGGGTTAGATGACTCTTAAACGGCGCAGGTTGGACTCGGGCAGCAAAAGCGGTGGTTGGCGACTTCACGGGTTGATTACGGTGGCTCTTGTGACTTCATTTCGCGCTCTTCTTTTTTCGCACTGTACCAATTGTTTTTGGTCGACTGATTGGGCGCAAGTGCGCGCCGCCTCATCTCAGATCTAGTGGGGTAACGCCTCCTCAGAAACCTCTGGCATCTCGGCTCTGGGTAGCATTATCGGTGCTTGGTATCACCAATTACATGTCCCTTTCATCTAAAGCAGCGATCCCTAGTCTCATCAATCCAGACTTGTTTGGGAATGGTCCCTCTGTCTTTCCATCTGCTCCCTTCTTCGTTCCCTTCGCAGGTCGCGATCCTTCTGTCGAATGTGAAAACCCTCCTCGATGTCCTTCCAACCCCGCATCCATGCCGTGATGCCTTCAAAGAGTGCTTCTCCGTCGTCATTAAACTGTTCTTCCTTGGCACACTTTGTCCACCGCCGTTGATTCTTTCGCCGATGCTTCATCGTGGGTCCCTCCGCCACAGCTAAGAGATGCTGCTTGTGCCAGTCGTCCACCCAAATCTCCAAGCCATTGATCGTTCCTTGCATGGCCTCCCGTTCCGCCAAGTCTTCGAGAATATCTTTCCGACTAGTATCGACATATCAGTATGCTAATCACAGCAAGGCGAAGACAAGAATCATGAGGCGTCACTTACAGTTCGTGTATCTCGTCGTCTAGCTCTGTCAGTCTCTGTGTCAACGCCTGACGCTCTTGGGTGAGCAAACTGTGAATCTCAAGCGACTCTCTGCGGCGCTGGCTGAACTCCGTCTTCATCGCTGTAACTTCTTTGAGAAGATCCCGCAGCTGAGAGTGCGGTATCTCCTGGACATCACCGTGATGATTCGCTGTGGTCGAAACTGGTGTGATGGAACTTATATGTGGATTTCGAGGAGAGTCTACTGGGCTGGGCGGCCGAGAATGCGCACGGGGTCGACAACGGGCGACTTCTTGTGAGAATGCCGGACGCGGATCAAGCAGGGCCTCCATCTCCTGGAGGCAGTGGTGGATTGTGGTGGAGTCTGATATAGAAATCGAATTACTTTCGGACAGAATTTGAGCCACTCGGATGAGACGTGCAGGCAATAAGGCTGCATCATTCATCTCGCTTTCGAGGATATGCGAAGCGCCATCGTGGTCTGTGAGATTCTTATCCCATGCTTGCTCGGCTACCGATGATGGCGGCGAGGGCTGTGAGTAAGATGTCTGATGCTCCATGGAGGGCTATTCCAGGGGTTCAGAGACGTTGTTGTCTTCTCGTTTTCTATGATTTGATCCTATCGTAGTGCCACTTATTTCCTTGTCTCGATAGTCTCTTAGAAATGTCAGGCCTATGAGGATAGAATTTGGAGGTCGGTGCAAGGGGGCGGATTAGAAGTAGTGTGCTGCAAGCCCGTGCGCACAGGAGAAAAAGGGTGAAATGTACCCTTATTTCTTTAGAATGACGTGCAGTGATACCCAAGAACAGGTTTGGGCGAAGGTGTTAAACAACAGCTCCACGTCCGGCCTCAGATGATGATGATAACTGCTGTAACAGTGCTTCCAGCAAGAACAACAACTAATCAGGTCCGCGGAGGATTCCCACAGCAACCGGGGAATAGCTTGGGTTGGGCGACAGGATGGCAAAGGAGCTTGATAGGTAGAAAAGAAAGAGTATATTATAATATTCTGAAATGAAACTAGGAAATGATCCCGAAGGTCCAAACTTCAGTAGACAGACACCCAAGCAAGGGAATTGCAGGAGGAACAATGGGATTGTTGACAGTCGGGCTGTCAATAATATTAGTTAATTAGCTGGATGATAATGATGAATAAGAATCGGGATGAATGCCGCCGTCTATCAGGCCGGTAACGCTAGTCCCGGTTGGGAGAATGGCAAGCCAGTCAATTGAGGCATCCACTGGGCACTGATACAGTCTGGATGGCCAGTTCGGGAACATATCAACCACTTCAATCATTGAACTTAGTACTGAATCACTTTACGGAGCTTTTGCTTTTCTCGTTCCTCGGCATCTCCTTAGCGGTGGCTTATTCTTCTTCCTCTCTCGCTGTCATCCCATCTCACTCTCCCATTCTTTCCACTATGAAGAGCCTCTTTTTATACTAAAGTCCATTGCCTCTGCTCGCTTGCCCGCCCCGCCTGCCAGCAAATCCCTCCATCCTGGGCTCCTCCGGTTTACTTCCGGACTCGGGCTCTTTTTGATTGTCCCTCCCTGCCAATCTTCTCCCGCCTCTCCCCCTCCTCCGTTACTTTTTCCCGCACACCACCAACTCCATACACAAAGATGGCGCCGTCTGTAAGTGCTTTTCTAGTCCTTGCATTTGTCTCTGAACATGTAACATGCATCGCGCTCGACGAGAATCACAAACTTCACTGGTACGAAAGTGGTTGCATGCTAATTCCTTCTGACTCACCCAGATCACGATTGTGCCGTCTCTCGAGACTGCAGGCGAGGTCATCGATTCCGTCCGAGACTCAAAGTTTGCTCCCAACCTTTTGCCGTTGGTTACTTCTATCTCAGCCGACCTCTTGACTCCTACCCTGGCATATCTGAAGATTGCAGAGAAGTGAGTCGTTTGCCGCCCGCGACCCTCGCCGCTAAGTAGGCGCGCTGACCGGTTTAGATCGAAATTGTCGTTCCTCTACGAAAGTGCTGCCACCACTGAAACCATCGGAAGATACAGTTTTGTTGGAGCTGGTATGCGGTACCCTTCCTAGCCCACTTTCCCCGGTTTTCGAGATCCAGAGCTCGTGACTGATTCGCCCGTCTACTTTTGTTGTGCGTGCGCAGATCCCCGCAAAGTTATCAAGACTGGCGCTGGCCATGGGCCTGAGTGTGATCCGCTGCCGATCCTGGAGGAGGAGTTGTCCGGATATCGCGTCGCGACAGTACCCGGCTTGACTCTTCCCCCTTTGACCGGAGGTGCTATCGGCTACGTTGGTTACGACTGTGTGCGGTACTTCGAACCTAAGACGGCCCGCCCAATGAAGGATGTGCTGGGTATTCCCGAGTCGCTGTTTATGCTCTTCGACACTATCGTCGCTTTCGATCACTTCTTCCAGGTTGTCAAGGTCATCACATACATTCCCATTCCTAGCAGCAAGGCGGAGCTCGAGGCGGAGTACCGCAAGGGTCAGGAGGCCCTTCAGCGCATTATTGCGACTCTCCTACGCCCTGACCACCCACTTCCACCTCAAGGTCCTATCCTACAGAACCAGGAGTACACGTCGAACATCGGACGCGAAGGCTACGAGCGTCATGTTACTCGCCTGAAGGAGCACATCTCCAAGGGTGACATCTTCCAGACCGTGCCCTCGCAGCGGTTGTCCCGCCTCACCTCCCTCCACCCCTTCAATCTCTTCCGACACCTGCGCACTGTCAATCCGTCACCATACCTTTTCTACATCGACTGCGAAGACTTCCAGCTAGTTGGTGCCAGTCCGGAGCTGCTGGTCAAGGAGGAGAAAGGCCGCATCATCACACACCCGATCGCGGGTACAGTAAAGCGCGGCCGGACGCCGGAAGAAGACGAGGCCTTGGCCACCGAGTTGCGCAGCAGTCTGAAGGACCGCGCGGAGCACGTCATGTTAGTGGATCTGGCACGCAACGACGTGAACCGAGTATGCGACCCGACGACGACACAGGTTGATCGGTTGATGGTGGTGGAGAGATTCTCGCACGTGCAGCATCTCGTGTCGCAGGTCTCGGGTATCTTGCGGCCGGAAAAGACGCGCTTCGACGCATTCCGATCGATTTTCCCTGCGGGAACGGTGTCGGGCGCACCCAAGGTGCGGGCGATGCAGCTGATTGCGGAGCTGGAGGGCGAGAAGCGCGGTGTGTATGCGGGTGCGGTGGGCTACTTCGGCTATAACATCGCCAGTGCGAATGGAACGGCAGAAGTGCCGGGTGCGATGGACACTTGCATTGCGCTGCGGACCATGATGGTCAAGGACGGGGTGGCTTACCTGCAGGCGGGAGGAGGCATTGTGTTCGACTCAGACCCGTACGATGAGTATGTGGAGACACTGAACAAGCTGGGAGCGAACATTGCCTGCATCAAGGGCGCTGAGGCCAAGTACCTCAGTCTGGAGGAAGAGCAAAAATCCTAGATTAGCACTTCTTTATCCTCTCCTTGTTCAGATCTCTAGTTTCGACTTCTTCTCTTTCATCTCTTCAGGCTTTAGATGACATGACTTTTCAAAGTGAGCAATGGACATGGAATATAGACCACTCTTCGATGACTGGTCGCTAGATGTTGTCAATAATCGAATTCAAACTTTGGAAAGACATCCGGGGCTCCGGAGATGACATAAGGTTTGAGCCGACAAGGAGGACCAGGAAACCGCATGAATACTGCTGCCTGCAACTTCCACCATCTTGCGGGGGGGAGTCCGGGCTCTTTTCTTTGTCAATCAGTGTCAATAAAAAGATCGCATGAACGGGGTAAGGATTGGGGGTCAGCCAGGATGAGGCCGAACGTGGTTTCGATCTGCAAGAAAGGCCGGCCCTGCCTGCGATGACGTCGATTGCGAGGCCGGCCAGGCGCTAAGCACAACGCACGGGGGAAAGAGAGCGGACTCAGGGTTTAGAGTTGGTTATGGGCGGAAAAGACCTGGAGAAGAACGAGTCGGATGTCTTGGAATGGCTTTGAATCTCTAGCCTAGATTTTGTTTCTAACTTGGAAGGAAGTCCGTCGAATGATTGTTGTATAGGTAGTGTGTTCAAGTGTAGTGTGTTCAAGTGTAGTGTGTTCAAGTGTAGTGTGTTCAAGTGTGCATAGGGGAATGGTCAATTGACGTCAAGTGATGGTGGAAGTGGTAGTCAATGTTGAAATAACATGGAATCACTTTATAGATGGTAGGGAATAAAGATAGGATTACTGTCATGAATAGAAGAAACCGACTAGACGTAGAGCAGAGGAAGAGGAAGAGGAGGAAATGACACCATCCCAAGTAGTTCCATCATCGCTCGGTTTCCTTCTCCTGATCATCTCACCCATCACTATCAAATTCAATAAAACCTCTCCCCCTCTCCCTTCCTGCTCCCTCTTTTTAGCTCTTCCGGTCTCCACAGTACTTGACTGATAATTCTTCCTCCGGTTGACCTTGAATAACTTTTTTGTACCGTCCCAATTCCTTCTTCGCCCTTGTACATAGTCTGGGTGCCCCCTATTCGACTGGCCGCTGCCCGAGGGAAGTGAATGAACGCCCGAGAAGGCAGATTCGACAACCTGACGCAACTACACACTTGGAAGAGAGTTCCTTTGCATCTAACACGAGCGCATTGCATCCGAGCTCAGGAAGAACGGAAATCCCCGCTATTCCAGGACGGCTTAGAGGTGTGGTTGTGAGTAAATTGGCTCGAATCTATTGAACGGTCTTCCGGTGGCACCCAACCTTTTAGTCCGCCCGATCTCTCTCTCATCTCTCTCTCTACAACCAACTTCCTCTTCTCTTCTCTTCTCTTCCTCTTTTCTCCTCCACAACTCCTCCCTTTTCCTCACATCTCTTCTTCTTCTTCTTCCAACTCCATTACCCTATTTCCAACCTTTCACTGCTATCTGCAGTCGCGATCCCCTGTTATTCGAATTACCCTTGTTGCACCCATTCTTTCCCCGCCGGGTGCCATAACGCTCTAAGTTCCGACTGTCTCACGGTCACTGAGTGACAATTCCGAACGCGGCTTACATACGCCTTTCCCATCCTTCCTAAGTGTGATAAGGAGTCGGACTGGTTCTACTCCCCATCGCAGTTGCTCCATCCTCTTTAGTTCCATTGACGCCCACTTCTGCGCGATCGCCCTGTTCGCCTCGCTCACAACCTCCCTCCCTCCCTAATCATCCCTCTTACGCAAGCCAAAGGCGGAAAGGGCCGCCTAGTCTATCCTCACTTGTCCCATACACACACGCAATACCGCCACCATGTCCAAAGTCGTGCGCAGTGTGAAAAATGTCACCAAGGGCTATTCCTCCGTGCAGGTCAAGGTTCGAAATGGTACGTAAAACTGTTACCGCCCGCTTTCTTGCCTCCGATCGGCTGTAGCCTACGATACACCCTCCCTATCGTCATAACTTCCAGTCAATCCAGGATCACCTCCATTCCAGCATTTTCTCCATTGGACGAGTTCTTTTAGTCGATTGATGCTAATTTCTTATTTCTTCTTCCCTGTACAGCTACGAGTAATGATCCTTGGGGGCCCACCGGCACTGAGATGGCCGAAATCGCCGCCTTAACCTTCAGCAGGTAGGCTACCCCGCGTCCTCCGTGGCCTGCATGGTCCCGCGACTCAAACTGACCCCCTCGTGCAACCATCTTTAGCCCCACCGATTTCTACGAGATCATGGACATGTTGGATAAGCGCTTAAACGACAAAGGCAAAAATTGGCGCCACGTTCTCAAGTCATTGAAAGTCTTGGATTACTGCCTGCACGAAGGGTCCGAATTGGTAGTAACGTGGGCCCGTAAGAATGTTTACATCATCAAGACTTTGCGCGAATTCCAGTACGTTGATGAGGACGGACGCGATGTCGGACAAAATGGTAAAGTTGAAAAGGGGTGGCTGGGGTAATCTACGTCATATCTGGCTAACCGTTCGATTCACAGTCCGTGTGGCCGCTAAGGAACTCACCTCGCTCGTTCTGGACGAAGACCGATTGCGCAGCGAGCGCTCCGATCGCAAGCTCTGGAAGTCCCGGGTGAGCGGTCTGGATGACCACCAAGGGGGCTACGCTCCAGAGCCCCGTCGCGAGCGCCGCGAGCGTCGCCGCACCACGAATGACGACGACGACGCCGAATACCGCTTGGCAATCGAGGCGAGCAAGTATGAAGCCGAGGAGGAGCGCAAGCGCCGGGCTAGGGAAGCGGCCGCGGCCGACGACGATGAGGATCTGGCGAAGGCAATCAAGCTGAGCAAGGAAGAAGAGGAGCTGCGCAAGCGGGAGTTGGAGGAGAACAACGCTCATTCGCTGTTCGATGATGCCCCTACGCAAGTCGCCCAGCCGCAACCGACCGGATACAACCAGGGTTACCAGCAGCAGAGCGCGGTCGACTGGTTCGGCAACCCGATCAACCCTCAACAGCCGCTGACAACTGGATATTTGAACAACCAATATGCTCAGCCTACTGGTTTCCAGAGTCAGATGACCGGTATGCCCAATGGGTATGGCAACGGATTTCAGGCGCAGCCGACCTCGTTTGACCAGAACCCCTATGGCCAGACGCAGAACAATTATTTGCAGCCGCAGGCCACTGTACAGCCACAACATACAGCATTCAACGTCAACAACCCCTGGGGAGGTGACGCATTTTCCCAGCAGCAACAGCAGCAGCAACAACAGCAGCAACAGCCGCAACAGCAGCAGTTCCAACAATCTCAGGATAACTTCTTGTCGGCGGGTACGAACAACCCATGGGCTAGCCCACAGCCAGCGGATGCTCTGAAACCGATGCCCACGGGATCGAACAATCCATTTGCACCACGTACCCAGCAGTTCCAGAGCCGACCCGCTACTACTGGACCTCCATCACTGAATACTTTGGCGGAAGAGAGGGTCACGAACCAATTCACATCGCCTAACCCGATCGCCAACTACCAGACACAGCCACAGTCACTTGCACCGCCCCAGCAGTCGTTCACGCCGCAGAAGACCGCACCCACTCAGATGCTGGATCCGCATCGCGCACAGTTGAACGCACTCTTGGCTTCTGGAGAGGGACAGGACACCTTCGGAAATGTGGGAGATTTGCGTATTCCCGCCCAGCACACGGCCCCGGGTACATTTGTCAACTCGGCCGGACAGGGATTGGACAAGCTCCGGGCCACGCGGACGGGCAACAATCCTTTCTTCAACCAGCCGCAGCAGCAGTTCGTTCCACAGCAGACGGGATTTGCGCAGCCGGTCAACAACCCGTGGGGAAAACAGCAGTCGTATCATCAGCAGCCTCAGCAGGGTGGCAGTTTGATCGACTTGTAGGACCGAGGGCTGGACTGGTGTATTGACGGGGAGTGGGGGTGGGGGGGGGCTGGAATGAATCCTGATTTGATATCTAAAGCCCGTTGTCCCCCGGGCTTTCTTATGTTTGTTATTATTTGCCTTCACTTGTTTTCTATTACTTTTCCCCTTTATAGTTGATATCAAGAGTCATCGAATTCGGATACCAGGTTTCTTGTTATTATTTTATTGGTATTAGTTGGTATCATCTTTCACAGTCAACACATCTGTTTCTCTGGTCAATCTGTTGAGCATCGAGTAATCTCACACATCGTTCGCTCGATGCCTTGCTCACATGACCACCGCGGTACGACCTGCCTGTTAACTCGCACGAACCACCTCGCTCGTATAGATCCTCACTTGTATGAACCCCTCGCTCGCGGGAGTCATCACTCGCATAAACTGCTTTGTTTACAGGAATAGCCTTGCTCATATGAATTGCCTCGCTTGTACGAGGCCCTACTAGCATAGACCCTTCCTTCGTTCTTGCAGGTACCGCAGCGGATCTCTAGCGCTCAGCTCCTTGACATCAAGCTTCAAAAGGACCCCTTTTTTTTGACAGATAGAAGGCCCACTATCCTAAGTATCAAGGAACTAGTGCTTCTCAGACTAATACCCCAACTATGCAGAGTTTCTCCACTGATACACCGCAGCTGATATTCGGCCATATGGACTGATCGGTTTGATTGCTGTGTAATCGTATAGTACCATGGGACTTGATCTTAGCCCTGAAGCCCTAGAAGCCCTAGAAGCCCTAGAAGCCCCCTCCCCCCAGGCTCATGAACGAGGGTACAGGAGAACAATGAGATTCAGTTCGATATAAATGCCTTTAGAGGTAAACGGGTGCTTCCAGTCTTGAACTATTCCTTTGCACATATACTCCAAATCCAGGAGAGATCTGTATGAGCGACTTTTTCTTTTCTTCGCCCGGCAGCAGCATTTGTATACCAATTTCTCCCGCAATGTTACTTCCGTCCCGGTTTCTTTGTCTACCCTTCTGTGTCATCCTCGTCGTTCTACTTCTATGGAGGCTGCCGATCAGAGGCCCTCCGGTGTTTTGTCGCAGTGACCCGCCCTTGCCAGTCCAGTCTCTGGGTAATATCGACTGGTCACGGTTTGCCTACGTGCAATATGCTACCAACACCGCCTATCTTTGCAACTCGGTGATGTTTTTCGAGACTCCACCAGTTGCAAAGCCAGCCAGATCGCGTTCTGATGTATCCTTCGCACCTCGATCCAGAGATGGACTCCATCGAAGGTGAATTACTGCGCAAGATGCACGCACAGTACCGCGTGCGGCTGGTTCCGATTGACGTGCAGAGTCGAAGCAGTAGTGATGGTGAGGAATCACATTGAAAGGAAAAGAAGAGATTTCGACTAACTCTCAATTCAGTCACATGGGCAGAGAGCTATACTAAGCCTCTTGCTTTCAACCAAACCCAGTACGCGCGGGTGTTGAGTCTAGACTCTGATGGGACAATCTCGCAGGTATGTCCCTTCCCCCTCCCTCCCCTTGGCTTATTTTATGCTGGCTGGCTGTCTGAACAAAGACTGAAAACTCCCCCCCCCCCTCAAACCCCCTACCAGGCAATGGATGAATTGTTTCTTCTTCCCCCAGTCCCCGTGGCAATGCCACGTGCGTACTGGCGCGGGTTCGATCATCGCCTGCTAACCTCAGCGGTGATTTTGATTCAGCCCTCGGAATCCGAGTTTGGCTACATCTGGGAGAGGATCCAAGTGGCCGGTAAATCCGACTACGACATGGAGATCCTGAATGATCTGTACCAGGATAGTGCGATGGTCCTGCCGCACCGTCCTTATATCCTCTTGACCGGCGAGTTTCGATCCAAAACTCACGCGAATTACCTCGGCGCCCCGCACACCAGATGGAACCCTGATTTGGTCTTGTCAGAGGCCAAGTTCCTGCATTTCTCGGATTGGCCGGTCTCCAAGGCAAGTTTTGCACAACTGATCTATCCAACTGATTTTTCTCCTGTTGTTGTGTGTTCTTACTGACATCGATTGATCCACTCAAAAGCCCTGGCGGAAGACTCCGGATCCGGTCATGGACAAAGAACAACCGGCCTGTCACAACGATACCACCCAGACGGGGATGCAAGATTGTCGCTCGCGTGAGCTCTGGTTAGGCTTTTACCAGGATTTTGCCGAGCGTCGACAGGTATGAAGCTCTGTTCTCGTCACTTGAATATATCTCCCCCCTAGTACTTACGGTGCGTTTAGAGAATCTGTGGATTGCATGTAGACTGAACATTTGGCAAGGAATTCGTGAGGACTGGACTGGTGACCACTATTCAACACATCTTAATCGTGGTTCTTTGAGAAGAGAGGAGGTCGGCCATCATTTGACAATATAGACTCCCATTGGTTATGTGCTTAAATGGAGGGAAAGCTTAACCCGGTCGACCTGGGGATTCTCTCTCTAGGCGCAAGCGATATCAACCAAACTTTCACTCAGAATGACGACAAGCCCGCCATCCAGACCACTTTCGTTCCGAGCTACATGTTTGGCACCCTCAAAATGCTTCCATCTTACTCCTATGGCATGCACATTGGCCCGGTGCTCCCCAAGATACCGGGGGCTATGACCAGAACCGCGTTCTGGGCGAGGTCTCGGCTCAGGCATTCTCCAGTGGTTCGTTCCCCATCGGCCTGGTTGACATAACAGTCGGGGTCGTGAGAGGGGGCTCCCCCTGGAACTATTCATCTCAGCATGGACTTCTGGCCAAGGGGAACGCATCAATCTGCCCCCGGTATCACTGTGACCATGAGCCCCGCGGACCCTTACCTCTACCTGCCCCAAAGCACATGTGAAGCGATCGCTGCCGAGCTGCCGGTAGTATATCAACCCGACTACGGGCTTTACTTCTGAAACACCACGGACCGTCGATATAGCCAGATCATCACGTCACCAGCATACCTCGGGTTTGTTTTCAGCAAGAACTCGCGCAACAACGCCAACTTGACCATCAAGGTCCCATTCTCGTTGCTGAATCTGACGCTCAAAGCTCCTCTCGTGGAGAAGCCGACATCCTACTTCCCTTGCATGGGCACAACCGGCACCTATGCGCTGGGCCGGGCCTTTGCACAAGCAGCATTCATTGGTGTCAACTGGGGACTCCCCGCGGGGAACTGGTTTCTAGCCCAGGCTCCCGGGCCCAGTATCCCTGGCTCCGCAAGACCAGCCGTCATCAGACCCGGTGATGCCACGATCTCTGCGAGCTTGAACGAATGGAAGAATAGCTGGGAAGGGCACTGGACGGAGCTACCTACTATGCGCGGAAGCTCTGGGTCACCGGACGACGACGGCGGCGGTGGTGGTCTTTCCGACATTGCCAAGGCCGGCATTGGGCTGGGCGTGAGCCTGTCCCTCACCCTGACGGCGCTGGCGGCAGTGATACTATTCCGGTACGGGAATCGATGCACCCGTTCCCCTAAGCCCATCGACGACGACGAGGGGCTTGTTGCTGTCGGCTTGCATCTGCGGAATTCCATGTCGGCAGGCGTCGCGCAGGCCCGACAGCTCGGGCACCCAAGGACTCTCGCAGAGTTCAATGATCAGCCAGCCCTCTGGGCAGGTGTACGAGCTCCAAGGCCAGCGCCATGGTAGTGTATATGAGCTTTCTTGAGGGTCGCCTGCCCCCCTCACCCCAAGCAAAGCGCCCTTGGTCAGCTCGATCACGGTACGGGATGCTCGGGTGAGGGTTGGGGATGTGTTCCTGGTCATGGGTCCGGATCGCGGATTAGATTTCTTGGGTCTTGGGGTCTTGGGTCTTGGTTCTGGGAGGGTAAGGGTACTCTTGTATTTCCGAGCGATCTCTTTCTGGGTGGTTCTGATGGGAAAGGAAGGAGGGAGGGAGGGAGGGTTCACTGCTTCTCAATCGTATAGATATCATGCCCTTACTCTACTTAGCCCTGGACTATATAATGCTATAGCTATCAATCCAATCTGCACCCACCC